CATCAGCTTCACCCCACCCCAGGCATCTTTGGCAAAAGCCACCTGGATTTTCCCCTCATGACAAGTTTCCGCCGCCTTCCTTGTGGCTGTCAGTGCAGGATGCCTCGTTAATTGGTAATCAAGGTTAATTGGTTTCCTATGTGTTTCATTTCCTCCCCTCATAGCGCATTTCAACGTACGGTTGCTGCGGGATTTCTCGCTGAACGGCCCATGGGGGGGCTCGGTCGCTTTCCTCTTGTACGTCTTGGTGACCCGGTCCACGTCTGGCTGCTTCCGCGTCATCTCCTCCATGAAGGACTGCCCAGACACAGAAGGGACAAGAAAACCTTGGTGGATTCGAGCTGGTTTTGGGTTCCTGTTGCTCCAGCTCCTCGCTGGGACATGCCAAGCCCACAGAGGAGATGGGAGGGTGGTGGTGGGGGATTGTGGTCAAACCCAACCTACAAATGCTGGAGTTTGTCCCCTGGGCTGGCTTTGCTCCCAGGTGACAGCTCAGGGACTTCCAAGAGAAGGCAATGCCTCCATAGAGGGGGACCTAAAAACCCCACCTTGCCCCTCTGCCGTGTTGGGACTGGACTCACCTGGTGCTCGGCGATGAGGCCCTTGACCTGATCGATGTTCTGTGGCGTGGGCTCCTGGTCCCGCTGGATCAGGGTCGTCTCAGCCCACTGGATCCAAGCCAGGAGCTCTTCCAGGAGCTCCGCATTGGCCACCAGCTCGGAGAGCGCAGACTCCAACCTCTGCTGGTGCTGCTTCGCCCACGTGAGGACCTGTGGAGACGCAGGAGAGGACCAAGGTGGGAAACCGGGAGCAGGAGCCACCAACGTGTGGTCATCCCTGATGGTGGCGGCCACCACCGCCTCTCGTCACCAGCCCGGGACAAAGCCTCACCTCCTCGAAGCGGGCGCGGATGATGGTGATCCAGTGCTTGATGGTGGTGATGCAGTCGGGATGGCAGGCGGCCAGGATGAGCTCCCCCATGCCCACCGCCGCGTTCACGTCCACCCTCTTCTCCTCCACTTTCTTCATGAACTCCTGGCAAATGAAGGCCCGAATGAATTCATTGGGGATATTTTCCCCCAGAAATTCGGCCCCAGGGTCGCGTTTCGGAGCCCCCCCCGCTACCTTGTGGGTGTCAATGAGGGACTGCAAGGCCTCGGCGTCATCGGGAAGCGCTCCCCGAAACCGCAGGGACTGCTCTGCCTCCGAGAGCCACTCCAGCAGCAAGTGCACGGCCGTCCTGAACTCCTCTGCCTGCGGGGACAAAACCAGGGGCGTTAACCCTGCTCCTCCTGAAAACGGCCGCTCGATTCACTGCTGAGAGCTGGAGGGACAAAGGGCTGAAAGAGACCTTAAAAACCAATTGAAGAGGGGGAAAGAAGCCCTGTCTGTTGGCCTGGGTTTGTGCAGCACCAGTAGATGGGTCCTGTGACCGAGTATCTCCCTGCCCTTGGCATCAGCTGCGCTGAAGAAATGAATGATTTTAAACCAGGGACAACTCCCCATGCTCTGACCAATTTGGCACCTGGGGAGTTTATTCTTGACAGAAAAACTACTCAAAAGCCTTGGATCTTTTCCTTTTAGCTGCAACCTAGGTCTGTCTCTTGTGCTGGACATGAGGAAACGCCAGCCTGGATGGTCTCTGATCACCGCTCTGCTCCTGCTGTGCACATCGGTGAGATCTTTACATCCTCCCTTTTCAAATCAGTCTTTATTGGCTTTTCTTTGGGGAAAATATAAGTAAATCACTGACATCAACCCACTGGTCTCACTGGTAACTGCTGCTGGGGCGTCCTGCTCAGCCCAGAGATCAGTCTTTGCCCAAAACCTCTCCTCTGAGGTTTATGTGGACCTTCTGGAGCCCAGCAAAGCTCCCCCAGACCCGTTTCCACCCGCAGCCTTCTGCTCACCTGCTTCAAGGCCTGCTCCAGGCGGGTCTGCTTGGACACGGACAGCTTGCACACCGTGTCCCACCGGTTACTGAGCTCCTGCAGCTGCACCTTCACCCAGGTGGTGTCGTCCCGGCTGTTCTCAATGAGCTCCCGTCCGGAGCGTTTCAGCACCTGCACCGTCCCCGTGCGCTTCCCCAGCTCCTTCTGGAAGACCTGGGTGGAGAAAGGGCAACGCTGAGCGGGGCCGGTCAGTCCCAATGGGATGTTTAACGTGGGGAATAAAACAGGGTCACATCTGAAATAGTCTGGGGTGTTTTGCACCCACAGCAGGGATCCACCATAACCTGGGGTGATGGGAGGGCAGGAGCCCTGGCTTTCCATGCTGGCAGGAGCTGTGGTGGCCTGGGGCAGGCAAGCTCTAGCCCAGAAGCAGGAAAACTCTAGCTCAGGAGCTCAGGCTGAGACACAGCAGCTGCCTTGAGCAGGAGCCCAAGCCCTGTCCAGGGATTTCAACACAAAAAATTATCCTATAACAAAGCTGGTGAGGGGCTTTTTACAAGGGCAGGGAGCAATAGAATGAGGGGAATGGTTTTAAACTGGAAGAGGGGAGATTTAGACTGGATGTTGGGAGGAAATTCTTTACTATGAGGTCAGTGAGGCCCTGGCCCAGGTTGCCCAGAGAAGCTGTGGGCGGCCCCTCCCTGGAGGTGTTCAAGGCCAGGTTGGACGGGGCTTTGGGCAACCTCGGCTGGTGGAGGTGTCCCTGCTCATGGTGGGGTTGGACTGGATGAGCTTTAAGGTCCCTTCCAACCCAAAGCATTCTGTGATTCTATGATAAATTCAGCCACCTTTCCAAAACCAAACCTCCACCAGCTCTGACTGATAGCGTTGCAGAAGAACAGAGCTCCAGCTCCTGTAACCTTCCCAGCAACTCAAAAGTTTCTTCCCACTTGTTCGCCTATTTTTTGCCCTCTTTGTCCACCACAGCAGTGAGACACAGCTATGCAGCAAAGCACCAACTCTGGCTCCTCCGTTCTTTGGAGGACAAAACCACACTCACGCATGGAGAGGAGCTGGCAAAGGCTCTCTCACCTTGTGAGCATCCATCAGGTTCATGACCAGATCCAGGTCCCCATGGACGGGCTGGTCCTCAGCCAACTGGGGCTCCACCTTGTAGAGCCAGTCCACCAAGGCCTGCAGTGCATCCATGAACTGGCCAGAGAACAAGAGGGCTTCTTCCAGCTTGTGCTGCCTGAAATCAAACATCCCCATCAACTTCCATAAGTAAAATCACCTCCTTTTGTCACATCCCAGTGACCTCCAAGCACCCCATGGCATCGCCTCCCTCCTCTGCTCTCCACCCCGATGATCCTCAGCAAACGAGTGCCGTTGGTACAGCACTGGGGCTGGACTCACCTCTCCACAGATTTGCCGCACACCGTGTCCCACTTATCCCGCACTTCTCCCAGTAAATTGTCCAGCTTTTGAGTGTCATCTGCGAGCAAGGCTTTTTCCTTGAGGGCTCTGCCCGTCCTGATGGTGGTGTCATAGACGGGCTGCTTCCCCCCCAGCGTCTTCTGAAACTCCTGGGGACCGGAGAGAGAACAAAACCGCTTCAGAAAGCTTAGCTTTGGGTTTCTGAGGACACACGGTGCTCGTGGAGATCCCCAGCTGAGTATTTTCCATGGCAGCCATAGGCATGGACATGCCTTGTCCCTGTCCTGATGGCAGAGGAGATGTTCCCCTGCTCCCCATCCCCACAAAGCCCCTTTCCACCCAGCGTCCAGTGCCAGCCTGGCTTTGGCAAAGCTCTACCTTGTGTTTGGAGAGCTGGAGCTTGATTTTGTCGGGATCATTGGAAATCTCCAGCTCCGAATCCAGGTGATTCTCTGCGTCCTCCAGCCAATCAATCAGTTTCTTCCAAGCCTCATGGAACTGTGAAGAAACAGGAGCAAGCCTGAAACTGAGCACTGGTGTTGGTGTCCCCAGTCCCTTTCTGGTCTCGGGACCCCCTGCCCCCCAAAGCTGACCATACCCCAGGGCCTGTCGTACCCTCCCCATGTTTCTCACCTGCTTGGCTCGCTTCCTGGCATCATCAAGAGCCCGTCCCCGCTCCACCGAGCGCTGGACCACCTTCTCCCAGCGAGACTGGACACTGACCAGCAGGTTCTTGATCAACACCACATCCTGCTTTTGGCTGAGGAACTTCAGCTGGTTCCCAGTTTGATCCAGCTCGATGATCCGATCCCGGTGAGCGTTCACCTCATTGGCGAACACCTATGAGAGGCAAAGACTTATCTATCTTATCTCCTCTTATCTGTAAGGGCAGCTGGAGCAGCCCACGGGTGCGGGGAAGATGAGGCCACCCTTGCTCCCTCCCTCCATCCCGGGGAGCCGTTGGGTGCTCATGGTGCCGGTACCTTGTGCTCATCGATTTGAGCCATCACAGCGTTGAGGATCAGGCTGGCCGGGGGCGCGATGTTCAGGCTCTGCTCGGCCAGTGTCAGCCAGTTGATGAAGTCCTGGAGGGAGTTTTGGAAGTCCGTGGCCAGGGCCAGCGCCTCCTCCAGCTTCGCCTGCGGCAGCGGGGAGGGAGAAAAGGAGGAGGAAGGGAAGAAAAACACAACACGCAGGGTGAGAGCTCACGATCCGCGGCTTCGCACACAGAGGCGGCCTTTGTGTCGCTGCCGAAATGTCCCGCTAACAGGAACCTCATCGCCACGGCCCGGAAACGCGTCTTGTTTAGGAAGGGGAGGGGGTTTGGGTAAAGGCCGCCGCTTTCTTTCCAAACAAGAATGGCCCCCGAAAGGGGAGACCTTCACGGGCACAGCAGCAGCTGCGAACCCACGGCTTCCCGGGAGAGGGACGGCCATGGGCAGGGTGGCTGGGGAAAGGAGGTGGAGATTTCGATGGCAGCAGCTGCAGCACCGCAAATTTATTCTGGGCCGAGGCCACCGCGTCCCTCGTTTTATCTCATCCCCGGCCAAAAGCCTAGGATGGAGTCGGCTCGGAGGAGGATTTGGCCTGCAGAGGACCAACAAAGCCTGCCTTTCAGAGCCGCGGGAGGCGTCTGCCCACCGCTCCTCCAAATTAACCCAAAACACAATTTTACTCTCGTTTTCTGCGCCATTTAACCAACCCTGACGACTGTCTAGAAAATAAATAACAGCTCGGCGTTCACACAGCACCATCCGAAAGACAAACCTGACCCATGCAACCACGACAGGGGTTGTCTAAAAAACCCCAGCCCCGACCGGCTCCGTC